TTTTTTTAAAAAAAGGGACCATCTGCATCATTTGTGAAATGTGATCAGGAGCCACACAAAGTCACTGTGATCTGCACATAGCCCTCTGGCAACAGTTTGGAAACCCTTGTTTTAAAAATATGAAGATAAAATTAATTTCGGCAGGGCTCAACTGTTCAGCCTCTGTGTGTTATGGAACATGATTTGAGTTTGGTAGTAGAAACCGTTGTTTACGGTAGTGATGTGAACTGTGCTAATGGCTAATATGCTAATAGAAAACGTTTTGGCTTTGCTTTACAGCAGTGACCAAAGAGAGCAAAACTTGTTCTGCCTCATCATTTACAGTAGGATGTCGACCTCAGGAAGAGGAGGATAGACGATGAAGAGGCTTCAGAATCAGACAAAGTCTCCCTTGATAAAAAAAGGAAGAGAGAATGTCTCTATAACTTTGGGGGAAAAAAATCTATTTTTGTCGTCAGTGGTTACCTTACCGCTTTCAGTTGGCCATTTAAGTAAGAAAGATAAACTCTCTTCCAGCTAGCTCCTATCGTCACTCAGTCGTTTGACAAGTCTCTCTAACTGAGTGTGTGGCTTCTTCCTGTTTCAAATGATCCAATCATCCTGACGCCCAAGAAAGCCACCATCAGGCTCATTGCCCTCATCAGGAAATAACTTTGAATGACAGATCTGAAGTACATCCTAGGCCCCTCGTTGAACCTTTTGCTGATGAAGTAACATGGAACGGTACGTTGTCCCGCATTTCCTACGGTAACATTAGAAGTCCAACCTGCCTCAGGGGCCGATGGAGAGAAGATCTGTGTCGCTGGCCCTTCCTTCCTGCCTGCAGGACTCGTACCGGGCAGCTAACACCTCTCGTGTCTACACATCCCTGACAAGATGTGTCTGGTGAGGCGGTACAAAGCTCTACATGCAAAAAGCCATACACCACAGATGACTGCTGCTGTGAACTAGAACGAATAAAATAAACTGAAATAACCATTGCAGGTGCATCTTTTTTCCCCCCTGCATCTTAAACATCCGTTTTTAGTCCAACACAAAACGATCCACTGCAGAATCTTTGAGTGCTTAACTTGTTGCGTGACTTTTTAATCCATCAGTGAAGCTAATAATGTTAGCCTGTACTTCTTAGCTGATGTTAAGCATAAGAAAGAGGAGACCGCATGACTACATCCACATACTGCATTACATATCAGATGCACTTGGAGCAGAAATGCTCCTTTAATAGGCTGAACATCTGTGGCTGAATGCACACAGCTTTGTGGAGTTTGTTTTCCCTTTAACCCCCAGCAGCTTCGGTAACTACACAATGAGGACTGTGAAGCATTTTAGGAATGTTTCTAAAAAGAACTGTTTTCCCAGAAAACCATAAGACATCTTTCTTCAGAAACAATGTTTCCTTGAAATGTTTAAACTCCATTTAAGTAATTGTGTCTTTTATTCAAAAAGAAAACAAATTGTTCTTGAGACTGTCCTTGTTAACTGGCTGGTATGTTGCATAAAAACCATCCAGATCGATGAGTCAGCCTTAAAAGTAACTTAAATCAGATGTGGCATAAGATCTGAACTTTGGCGCTCGGAGGAGATTCCATGCTTTAGAAAAAGGAAATTCTGAATGACAACACCATACCATACCATGCCAACTTTATTTATAAAGCACTTTAAAACAACCACAGCTGATACAAAGTGCTGTACATTAAAACACAACATAATAATAAAAAAAATAAAAACTCTTACAGTTTAAAAACAAACATACAATTTAAAACTAGATCCCGCTGGAGTTGAAAGCCAAGTAAAATAGATTGGTTTTAAGACGAGCTTTGAAAGTGGACAGTGAAGGGGCCTCTCTGACCTGCAAAGCCAAGTCGTTCCATAACTTGGGGCCCATGACAGAGAAAGCTCTGTCCCTTCTGAGCTTCCTTCTGGATCCCGGTACCTCCAAGAGCAGCTGATCTGCGGACCTGAGAGACCGATAGAGCATATAGGGGTGAAGAAGCTCAGAGAGGTAAGCCGGGGCAAGATTATGCCATGATTTAAAAACAAACATAAGAATTTTAAAATGAATCCTAAAATATACAGGCAACCAGCGAAGTGAGGCCAGGACAGAGGTCACAGGCTCTCTCTTTCGAGTTCCTGTCAAAAGTCATGCAGCAGCGTTCTGAACCAGCTGCAGACGTGAGAGCAGCGACTTACTGACTCCCAGATAAAGTGAGTTACAGTAATACAATCAAGTCGAAATAAAAACGTGGATCACTGTTTCAAAATGCTGCCTGGAAAGAAAAGATTTCACTGACGCCAATCGCCTTAAATGATAAAAGCTGGACTTAACCACGGCTCTGATTTGGCTGTCCAATTTGAAATCACTGCCCACCTTAAAACCAAGATCTGTAATAACAGGTTTAAAGTAAACCTCCAAGGGTCCCAGGTCAACAGAGGAGGACTCACAGGAGCCACTGGGTCCAAACACCATCACCTCTGTTTTCTTTTCATTAAAATTTAAAAAGTTCAAGTTCAAGTTTTTTTTTTTTTTTTAATACAACAAAGCTCAAAATGTGTTGGAAAGGTCTGCAGGTCAAAGTTCAAGATAGCCTGGATTTCCCTCTGAGATAAATGCCAAAAGCATTTCAGGAAGGTTCCAGCTGTAAAAGGGGAAAAAGGAATCAGTTTTGGATCACTGCTGTGCAAAATGTCCAAAAATAAACATGCATGCCCAAAGTAGAAGTGAAGATCTCAGGTCTTTTTATATTTTAAAATTGTGAAATTCTTTATGAGAAACAGGAAAAGTAAGTGATCACTGAAGATCATTTATTGACATTTTATTATTGTAAAAACTGGTTTAATCTACAACAGTCCTGTTTTCTTACAACACCAACGATATATGAGGTGTTAGAGAGACAAATACTGCAGTAAATGCTTCTAATGACTCGATTTCATTAGCAGCATTCAGAAGGTATGGCTGATAATTTAGTATAAGTAGCGTGAATGCTTTTAATGACTTTTACTGACTCGCCTGACGTTCAAACTTTGATTTGTTTTATCTTGAATCTACTTTATATTTAAATGTTTGTGCCATACATACACATTTTTTTTCTCTTTTTTCTCTCTCTGCTGGTGAAACAAGAAAAAACTATTTAAAAATAAGTAAAAACAACTGACAAAACACATGAAAAGATGGACCAGTTCTGGCAGCAAACAGTACTGCAAATGGTTTCTTGGACACGAAAATGAGTTACTGTTCTCCAACAGCTGCATACTTTTACATTAATGTCAAACCAAACGCCTGAGAAATGTTTCTGATACTTTATTTAATCTATGCCACAAAGAGCTAAGGTTGAAATGGAAAAAAGAAATCTAGTTCTCGTAAGGTGTACCTAAAAAAGTGGCCAGTGAGTGTGTATTTCCTTTTTATCAGTAATTGCTGCCATGTTCATGTTCCTTGTTTTTGTTTATTTTAACTGCGTATTTTCTCCAGTGTTTATTGCTTAAGTAACATGTAAATAGACCCCAAATCTGTTAAAATGGGATTTAATTTAATTTAATTGCCCTGTATATTTTCAAATTGAACAGTATAGTTTATTTACATCCATTTATTTATTAAGTTTCGCTTAACTATATCAGCGTTTAAAATATTTTATCATTATTATAATTCTAAATTCGCTTTATGGGATTAAAAATGTTTTTTGTACAATGTTATTCATCGAGTTTCGATCAAGAGTAAAAACTCCCGCCGTCAAAGAGCTGGCCAATCGGCTGCGAGTGGGGGCGGAGCGTCAGCTGTCATAGACACGTGCTCTAGGAAACAGGAAGTAAATACAGAGGAGTCCACAGAGCCACAGGTCGAAAGTGAGTACAGCCGTCTTAATTGTTGAAAAACTTCCAATTAAGTTAATAGTTTCGGGAAATAAATTCAGCCGAATTAAAACACATTATTCCCTGTTATTAAAAATAGTGGTTGTGTACGAAATGCCACCAGTATTGTCTTGTAAGAGTAAGAATTGTAAAGTTGTTCGGTTGCTTCTCATTTATCCAGCCTTGGTAATAAAAAAGAAGCCAGTAGCTTCTTCGTTCTCATTTAGGACTCGAAGCACACGAACTTGACGTGTTTTAAAGGATAATGTTGAATTTATTTCGCCACAGCTAAGCTGCCCTAAGAGCGCCTTTAGACAATGAATGAAGAAAAATGCCTTTGACCTTTTAAATTGAAAATGACAGCTGTCACCTACACTTTCTATTCCACTATGCCGAAGCCTCATTATGTTAGCAACGACACACAGCTGTTAGCATTTGTCATTATAAAATTAGCCTTTACAACTACTGCGAGGTAAATATTCTTGCATGTTGAGTTAAAATCTGGATTAAAGAATGTGGTTTCTTATATTTAAAGGTAATTGATTTACTTTTATTCTTCTACATATTTAGTTGTTAAAAAAAAACAACTAAGAAATGTACCTTTAATTTCAGACACCATTAAGTCAGATCCAAAAACGTTTGCAAGCAAGAAAATTGAATTAAATTGGCATCACCTGACTTGTTTACCATTATTTAATGATTAAATGCAAAGAAAATTTCATATATATATATATATATGTAGTTGAAACTAGGCTACCAAATACTGAGGAAATTATGTTTAGCAAATGGAACTAATTTTTTTAAATTATAACTGACTT